CAACTGCATCCTCATTGCAGTGCTGAGGAAAAAAACTCCCAAACACCAATACTGCTAATAAGCACAGGTTTGACTCTTCCAACTATCAATGCATTTAACAACCCCCCTACTTAAATGTTTTGTTTGACAGTTCATTAGCTACAGAAGCTGTATGAAACCACTGTGTGATTAAAAACAGTCCAGTTTTACAATACAAATTTATGAGTCATAATTATTAGTTCTTTACAGCAAAATAAGAGTCTCTCATTACCAACTTTTAGTAAGACAGTTCCTAAACTTCCTTTAATCATCTACTTGCTGTCTTACCATATGGCTGCCTGGCAGCGTGGTAAACTGTCACTCCGTAAGGTCTCAGTGAAGACTGGTAGATCACTTGAGGGTTAGATTCTGAAAACTTGTTAGCTTTCACCACTGCCATTTTGGTCCAATCAGTGAAATAAACATTGTGTTCAAATAAAGTGATTCCATATGGATGAGGAATCAGTGAGCCTCCATGAGCTATTGTTCTCCTGTTATAAAGATGGTTTTTAAATTATTTACAAAATATTATCTAGAAAAATCAGAGAAAGAGGCTAAACAGAGGAAATCAAAGACATCTGTAGCAATTTGAAATATTCAAGAAACCTGGAATGTAAAAAATTTATGGCTGCAACAGGCACTGGTCAAAAATAAAATCCTATGCATGTAGATTGAAAAAAAAAAAAAAAAAAAAAAAACCCAACCCAAAACCACCAAAAACCACACACACACAGAGAAAAAAAAAAACAAACAAAAAAACAACCCACCAGACTTTCTTTGGCTTAAACCAATGACTCAAGCAAAAGCAAAGAAAACTAAATGCTAATGAATTGTATCTATTCTATGCAAGATACTGGGACAATATTTTTCTAGATAAATATTAGGAGATACAGAGAGACATTTAAGTCCTCACACAATACATAACAATAACACTACAGTATTATTTTCATGGAGTCATGAAGGAAAGTCTACAAAATCAGATTAATTCTACAGCTCTACTTGTAACAGTTTCCCAGGTGATTTAGGCTCATGCTGGAGGCACGCAAGACGTGACACAACTGGACACTAAGCTGTATTTTAACATTCTTTGCAGACTATGCCATTGCCTCTTGCCCACTTGCACAATATCTACAAGATTTTTGGTGTTGCTGTGAGTGATAAGTTTTTATCTCCAAAACCCAGAGATTTTACTAAACACATTCTTGTCTTACTAAACCCTGATAAAGGAGCAAAGATACCAGCATTATTTTTGTAATTTTCTAAGTGAAAAAATACATTGAGCAATAAACCTGTCAAATGAGCAGAGCACTCTTTTTCAAGCCAGTATGGAGTAGGTATGCTAAAGGGGACCATTATTTTCTCGTGCTTGAGTAACAGCGACTAATTGCAGATGCAGAGATAAGCAGGCTTCCAAACATTATACTATAAGATGTAGTCCCATAAAACCTCAAGGACTCCTTTCTTGCATGCTGTAAAATAGTTTCCCCAGCACCACAATAGTTTGAGTGATGACTTAACTTCTAACAGCAAAGATTTATAAAATGTAAGAAGAGCACTTAACACTCATTACACAAAGTGGTGCTTCGGAATAGAATATTTCAAATAAATTAATTAATGAAAAAGATGTAAAGAAATGATGATGGAAGACAACGTATATAATTCAAAAATAATAAAAAGCAACTGCTATAAAGATTTGTACTATAGTGGTGGATGATAAAAAAGGACATTCTAGAAGAAGTTGAAGAGGTATTCAAGGTAGAAAAAGGACAAAGAACGATGGAGGAATTAAAGATTGTATAGAAGTTGCATGACACCATAGATATCAAGGTGCATCACATTCATTATGTTGTAATTTTCATCCTTTGTGTATCTCATTTTGTTAGACAAATCTTTCTTTGAACTCGATACAAAATAATCGTGCATCTGTAACCTCCAAGGAATAATATTTCTCCTACCTTTGAAGCCCATCGTACGTTACAGTCTCAATGTAATCAAACCGGCTGTCAACCCAGTAAAGTCTCTTTGATACAATATCCAGAGTTATTCCAGCAGGCCAGCCTAATTTTGTTTTTATCAAATCCTGACGGTTTGTGCCATCCATGAAGGCCCTTTCCACTTTAGGATCACCAGACAGACTATCCCAGTCTGAGAAAAACAAATAACTATAAAGGGAAAAAGAAAAAAAAGTCACATGTTTCCTTGAGATTTTACCAAAAAAAAAAAAAAAAAAAAAAAAATTATGTAGAATTTGAAACCAGCACTGTTTCAGGACAGAGTTTTGATTCTCAGTTGACATACTATGAAAACACACTTTATACCTCCTGGCCAAGAAGCACTCTCTTTTATAGAATGAATCTAGAAAGAAACATGCTTTCACCCCAAAGACCTCAGAAATACTGAGCTTCCTTAGTAAAATACAGACTTAAGTGTATATCCTGGTTTCAGGACAGTGTACTGCCAGAAATAAACCAGCGGCAAATAGATGCATCATGAAAGTAGCATCCATCACTACAAGATGCATGAAATTCCTCTTCCCATGCTCTGAGGATCCACGTTTTCATGGCTCACATACATTTTTGAAGCATGTTGGGTTGACTTTCCAACCCAACTTTACTTTCTTTAACCACGGAAAGTGAAGTCATGGTTAACTTTCCTGGCTTCACTCCACCACTTTATTTCAGGTAGTAGGAGGTCTTTGGATGGTGTCACAACAGAAATCTTTCAGGATAACTTCTACTCTTCTGCAGGGCAATTTCACAGTTCCCCAGTTTTAAGAGCTGCACACACACATAAAACTCCAGCCATGAAACACATTCTGCACATTGGGAATAAAAACAGTGTGCAGCCCTCCCATAACAATTTAGGGTGTAGAATAGATTAGGACAGAATATAAATGTTTAAAAAATTTAATATTTGATTCTAAAATGACCACCCTAGCTATTTCTTAGTTATCCTCCTTTTGCATGGGAATAAAGGAATTTCTTTTACCATTACCTGACCCATATCACTTACCCAACAGTTGGATCAAGTGCTATTCCTCTAGGATTTCCGAGATTTTCAGCAATAAGAGTCACACGGTTTGTTCCATCCAAGTTAACCATATCTATTCTGTTCACACTGGTCTCAACCACATATAACTTATTGTTAATCCAATCCACTGCTAGATTTTCAGGTGTGTCAACTGAAACATTTAAAACTTCTTGGAGATCAGAGCCATCAATATTAATAGAAAAAACCTGAAAACAATACAAATGTTGTCAGTGCTCACACTATGTTTTGCTAATTTACAAGACACATGGCACCCATTCTTTATCATCACACTGAGCACAGATCCACAACTGGCCACCAGATACAACCAAGTTACCCACTAAGCTATTCTTTAGCTCAGTTTTTTCGCAAAAATTAGGAAAACAATGCAAAAACTTCAGGAAGCTTGCCTTCAACTAGCATTTCTGCAAAATGGACAAGGTAACAGACTAAAACAGCCTTGTGCTTTAGCAAACATGATAAACTGATGGATAAATAAAAACACAACCAAAAAAAATAAAAACAAAAGATGAGGGAAGTACATCTTGCTTTCCTGGAATCTAGCAAACCCAGTATTTTCATTAACTGAAAACAAATTAACACGCTTTAGCAAAGCTCTCATCAGTGACCAGAAACAAGAGGGGGAGCTCTTACTGCACTAACCACTAAGGGGAAATTGCGAAATGAAGAAAGAAAAGGAAAACTTTTGCTCCTGACAGAAAGGAGAAGGCTCAACGTTGCTTCTGGTCTCCTTTATTTAAGGTTAATTTTAACAGCATCAGTACTCAAGGAGAAATAGTGTTATTATCTTACAAGCAAGATCAGAGCTACATGAAGCAAATAGTATAAACACGGTAATTTTATATATATAGTAATCACATGATTATAACACTGAGTAATATTAAAAGCTAGGAATCATTGTCTCTTTTCTGGAACAACAGCGTGAGGTTAGGAATGTACTTAAACAAAAATACGGATTACCACAAGTAAATATACACAAGAAAAATAAGAACTGAAATAGCTGTATCATTTTAAATATTCTTCAGGTTCAGGTAAAAATAATCAAGCAGCCATTTAACTGTCTGTTCTGTTCTTTGGAAACCTTGCTGCTGGAAGAGCAAAGAAAGGACAACCAAACAAATCCCCTAATAATACTTTTATTTTAAGACATCAGGTAGAAATATGCATCATATAAGAAAATTCTTAATGTCATTGCTTTCATCTGGGTATTCCAGCTAGGACTTAATTACATTAATTATTCCTAATCAATTAATTAGGATTGAACTATATTGGGACAGATCAAAAGGCAGTCCTTGCAATCTGGGGTCTGCAGTGAAAAAAACCCATATTAACTTTTGTTTATATCATTTACAGAGATAGCATAAATCTCCTTTCTCATGAAAGTTCAGATCTGACCCTGACTTAATTCAGCCCTTGTCAATGGAATTGCAGTAATGAGAACCCACTGCACTGACAATAAAAATGCCAGAATTCCTAACAAGTCAAAAATTGTGCATAAAAATGCTGTCATACTTGGGAGCCATGCACTGCATTTTCCAACACAACCAACGTGGCCCTGTAGTACTAACTACAGCCTATGTGTAGGTTCAGAATAACAACAGTGACACCAAATTGATCCATATGCAGGAGGTGTCAGCAGGAGGCAGGCCATGGACTCTCCCTCACTCTGCATGACAATCAACATGGGGATGAAGACTGTGGAGTTTCAGCATTTAATTCCCCGATAGGACTTTTTTTGTTTCAGTAAGTTATGCACAAAGAAAAAGGGTAAAGTCCAACTTTCACAAGGGTCTCCAGACTGTGTTTTAAAATTACTCTGTTTTACTGTATCCTGAGCTCAAATATTTCCCCTTCAATTAAAAAAAAAAAAAAAAAGTAACAAAATATTGGCTCATTACACAAAATACTGTCAATATTTGTTATCCAAGCTCAATTACAGTGCCATTTGAAGTATATGAAGAAATCTGATTTTTATCATCTTGGAAGGCATACAGCTTTTACATTTTAAATGATCATGTTTCAAAAAATTACCAAGAAAAAATTGTTCCGTTTTGAAAGAATGTCTACTATTTCTCTTAATTAGTTTTTTGGACTCCATCTCAAGTAAAATTAAAAGTTGCTCAAGACATTCCCATATAATAGGATTCTTTGTTTAATATGTCACATGTAATACTATAGTTTGAAAAATGCAGTCATTAACATAAAACATTTCAAGGAGTTTTTTGTTAGAAAATAAAAATACAGCCAGCTTCTGCTCTCAAAAATGAAGGCCTATCAACACATTCTGCCTCTTGCAGTTCTCTACTTCCACAAACAAAAAAATAAATATATTCTTGAAATTTCTACCCACCTTATCTTGCACTGTATCAGTCCAAAAGATTCTGTGCAGGTAAAAGTGGAAGTCCACTCCAACTGCAACCCCACGATTCTGCGACTGCACTAAAGTACGAAAACTTCTTCCATTGAGATCTCCAATCAGTAAGTCACGGCCATTGGAAAAAATAATCGATGCAACACCAGCTGAAAGTAGGAGTGAGATACATGACTACCCTGCAGGCAGGCTATTTTGCAAGGGGGCATTTAAATATGTACATACTGGTTCGTACACACTGGACACAAAGGTTTAAATAGATGCTTAGAGTATAATCTGTATAAATGTTTCTGTGTGAGTACTAACCTGCTCTGACTGGCTTTTGGTTTCTAGATTTGGAGCAAACCAGGCAGGAATATGTATTCAAAGCCCTACCAAGCAAAACTTTTGCAAAACTTCTGTGCATCGAAACTAAAAAAGACTATTTCTATTCTGCTATTTCCTTGCCTTAGCTCCCTCAATCAAAGTATAAACTTTCTTAAGATTTTTCTGCCCCATGAGATATTCCTTGGTTCTAGCAGGCAGGCCATGTTCTTTATCTTTCTATACACTGCTCTATCCTATCCACCTTCTTCATTCTCTCATCTCATCATAAAATCTTTTCTGTATCTTACAATAGAAGGGAGATTCCAGCAAGTCTTTAAAGGAAAGCTCAAAGTAGATGCCTGTTGAAAGGCTTGCTGTTAAGTCTGTCAAGAATATATTTAAGTTCAAATCCTATTCACACTACATATACAACCCTCCCTCTCCATTTAAAGCAAAAATGAATCAAGGGAAACTGATTTAGGGTAGGTATGAAATCTCCTTATTAATAAGACAGAAAATCAACACTTTATGAACAACTCACTGGCTCAAAAGTCACACTAATTTGAATAGGAAGTTTTTTGTGAAAGATATAGAATTTTTCTGGAAACACAAATATCTTTCCCAGTGCTGGCATATGCACATTTTAGTACAGTCAAGCATAATTCATTAGCTCAAAAAAAAAAAATCCCTATTTTTTGAGAACATATTTAGAAAGTTGTGAGATGACTGCTCTGCCGATATGGCTGAAGAAATTAGGCAGGGAGGGCAGTAAGCAGTTAATGCCTTTCTAAGAAGCAAGACTGCTAATCAGCTATGCCAATCAGGCACTCCCATTCCCACTCTGCACCTGCAGGCAGGATCACCCACCTCACACAAAAGCCTGTTAGGCTACTACATCTCCACAAAGAAGGGCTTCTCAAGGCCTGCTTCCGAACAGCAGGAGGTGAACAACCAGTAACTGCTGCCTACTATTGATGAGGACCCACACTCTGTTTGAGGCTAGCATCCTTGCAGAGTTCAAACTTTGGGACACTAGAAGCCAGGAGCATGGTTTCTCTCCCAGGCCAGCGTTTGAGCTCACAATTCAACAAGACCATCTGCTTGCATGGCACAGTCCTCCTAAAAAAGAGAGGTTTCCCAATTTCTTGATCCCACTGAGTTCCACAGAGAGCAGGTCAGGAAATTGCCTCCCACATGAACAAGATTTTGACTATTAAGGAGGGCCCTGGGAATGACCTCTGACCTCCTAACTCTGCAGAAGTCAGGAATGCTGAGAAAGCACTGCAGTCCAGTAGATATTGTTTTAAGTATAAGCAGTCCTGATGAGGCAGCCAGCTCCACCAGCCTACAGATGCCAGTAGATGCAGAGTCTCTTGATATTTGCTGATGTTCTGAATGCTGTCCTGACCTTAAGCCCTTAAGGCCAGATTTAACTTAAAATCAAACACAGCTGTATGGCATAGCCATGCAAACTTCCCCATTTTACCTAACTTTATTAGTCCAACAACAGCAAGAGACTTGCACTGCTGCACTCTAACCTGAAGTGTTGGCCCGACAATGCCGATGATGCTCTAGGAAATAACCTTCCACACAGTGGCACTGGTGATGTCCCACACGATCTTCACACAGCTGGTCACAGACCCCCCACATTTTGCAGTCATCAAAATCTGTCAAGTGAATAAGGCATATTTATAAACAATGCTTTGCATAAAAGGGATGCCATTATATTTGGGAAGCCACAAGTTTGTCCTCTCTGCTTGCAAAACTGTGGCATGGGAAAAGAGGGTTTGTATGTTTTCCCACAAATCTTTCAATTTTCTGCTCTAGATAACAAAACAACTGATGTTTGCTTCCAAGGGACCTACCTGTGCCCTCCCTCCTGCCCCGCCACCCCCATTTCCCACACCCCCCCAAAAAAACCAAACAAAAACCCCAAACCCCACACCTGTCAGGAGAAGAGGAAAAATCATTGGAAGGGATGTCATTGTCTACTTTCGACAACACAGAACATGCCTATGCCGTATTCTTCCTGCAGACCTGTACACTATACACACACACTCAGCTGGATTTGCCCACTCTGAAAGAAAGCCCTACCTTGATGTCAGTGCAAGCTAGTAAATCCTGCTAAAAGGCAGTGTTTAATAGCTCAGACTTGGTACCATGCTAACAGGTGTCTGATTTCCAATTAAAAGCTGGGTGTGCACCAGAACCAGACAGCAAAAAGTACAAAGTTCACTTTGGCATCCAAAATACCATATAGATAAGAGTCTGCGGCTAGGATAATCCAAGCAAGTTCTCACAGATGTGCTCTACGAGCAATTTCCAGGGTTGCTACAAAATCTTTTACTTCTAAAATTGTGAAATATTCAACTAGTCATCATTTTAAAACAAGGATTTTAAAAAAATAAAAATTCAGATCTGAACACTGTCTGAAGTTTCATCCTATCTGTGGTTATTTAAAGCCCAGGAGATTTCTGACTCTAATTAACACTTAATCCTGACATTAAAAGTCTGCCCTCCTTCACTTGAAAACCTGAGTGAATCAGGATATTACATGGCTGGAAACTGGTAATTCTACAGTTAATCGAAAAAAGGAGAAAATGAGATCTCAAATAATCTTCCTACTGGAACTTTTGGTTTTAAACATTTATTAACAGTAAGTGAAAATGAAATATTTCTTAGATAGTACATTTTGGTCCTGAAAAAAATGTTGTTCTCAGTAGCTTTCCAGCTTCCATATGTATTAAAAACCTTCAGTATATACTGAGCCAGAAGCAAACAAAGAAGCCAAATTGAAAAGATTATGGTTTCAAAAAGTAATACACTTTGCTAACACTATAGTTTCATTCCTCTCTCCTTAACCAATAACACTGATTTAAACTAAGATCTGGAATCACTAATGACTGTGAGCCATTCCACCATGACAAGTCTTGCTCCCACTACAAATATATGCCTAGATCTGAGCAAAGCAAAATACATTGACTCAGGCGTACAAGCCAGAATCAGATAGCTAGGTCCAGGTAACAGAAAACTCACTGAGACTGCACCAGGTTTATGAACGTGTCCTTCATGTATTTCTCACAGAAGAGTGAAGGAATGGACAATTTGTCTAGGACAATTTGTACCTAGAGTCACTGCATCGATTCCTCCTCTCTATTGAGAGCAACCATGCTGTCATTGCAGCTCATACAGCTCTAGGCCACCCAGTATTCTTGAAAATACAGAAATCTCATTAGAGACTGAGCACCTGGAATACTTTTAATAGCACAAACACCAGAGCTTGGATTGAAAACCCATAACAGATATTCATCCAGTTTCTTTTATTAGGTAGTGCTAAACTTCATGATTCTGAAGTTACTCTATTTCCAGTTACCAAGATAAATCATTTGTACTACTACGGGTTTGTGCTACCAACTTACAGCAGCCACAGAATAGAAATGGAACACTAAAATACCTCACTTACCTTTACATTCTTGCAAATATTCTTCATTTTCATGTAAAAAAAAAAAAAATCATTGAATTGTTTTGGCTGGAAAAGATCTTTAAGATCATCAAGTCCAACCATAAACCTAACACTGCCCAAGTCCACCATTAAACCATGTCCATAAGTGCCACACCTACACGTCTCTTAAATGCCTCCAGGGAGAATGACTCAACCACTTGCCTGGGCTGCCTGTTCCAATGCTTGACAACTCTTTTGGTGAAGAAATTTTTCCTAATATTCAACCTAAACCTCCCCTGGTGCAACCTGAGGCCATTTCCTCTTGTCCTATCACTGTATACACTGAAATGTCATAGGAGACACAGCCATTCCATTGCGCAAATACAAAGCAACCTTTTCATTTTAAAGTACAATGTTCTACTGTCTTCCTACACAGCCACTTTCAAAAAGTATCAAACACTTCAATATCATTAACTGCTTTTCCAGACACCACCACACATACCTGGAGCAGAAACAAACTCTCTCCATCTAACCATAAAAGATATGTAAAAAAAATCTGATAATAAAATAGTCATACAAGAGTAAATCTTTTTAAACATAATGATGCTCTCACTATGTCTTTAACAGTCTTATTGAAAGAGAACTTTATGATCTCTCTGGGTTTTTTCTGTGTCTTGATGCTACCATTGTACTACTTAGATTTTTATTATTTTGCTGACTCTTGAGATTTTCTATTTGCCATTACATCCACCCATTTGGAACCTACTCGCCTTCCTGGAACCCAAACTTTCCCAATGAGCTGTGAGAAGGTACTAGATATCTGCAATCACTGTACTTCACTTACCAATACAAGTACGACTGTCATTGCTACTTATTGTATATCCTGCAGGGCAATAACACATCCCTCCTGATGGAGAAGAATGACAGCGATACTGGCAACTCAAAGCAGCACAGTGTGATATGTCTAAAAAGGAAATAAAATAGTTCAGAAATACAATTACACGTATTACCAGTAAAACAGCTTTTTGCCTCACTAGCTGTTACAAAGCTATAGTCTTTTCTATGATGAGTACAATTTCAGGAATACCTTCTTAAAACAAATCTGCACAATAAATTATACCTGAGGTTCCACAAAATCACATACGCCTACATACATGCAGGCAAGGAAATGGCAGACAGACTATAAGCTACTGTTTATAATAGGTTTTCAGAATGGAGTTAAAGGATAAGCACCGATCTTATGTGAGCCACCACTGGTAAGTGCCATGTAAAAAGCTGCACAGACAAAGCCATCTGCAATGCACCATACCTTTCTCTGGTTCCCCAAGACCTACTCATGAACAATTCATCCTTGAGCACCATCTATTGGTATGTAACCTCATCATTTACGGTGTTATGCAGAAGAAGTCCTACTACATTATATTAAGAAGAGTACATATATTACTCCAATATACTAGAATATATTGGTTGGGTTGTGTCCATGGAGAAGCTCTTCTTTAACCTATTCTTCTCTTTCTTTTTTCCTTCACCACTTCTCCCTTTCCTTGTTCTACTACCTAATAAACAATTCAGTAAGAGGTGATCAATTTATGATTGTAAAGCACTTGCTGACCTAAATCTCCTTCTTCCTTTTCCTCAATTTCTTCTGTTAAACGCTTTGCAGCCCACATCTGATGTTACTACTACACCACTCAGCAAAGCAAGAGACACTTTTTTACAATAAAGTTTAATTTCCTATTATTTTTTCTGCCTTCCTATTCCAAAAGGCATGATTTTATTAATAGGAATTTTCCTCTTCCTAGAAATTAAAAATGTAAAATACTCTGGGTCCTGATTCTCAGTGGGAATCAATGTTCATAAGAGTGAAATTAACTGGAACTATGCATGCTCATTGCCTCCAACAGAGAAAACTCAGTATGCCACTAACTGGAGAACTAGACATCCCGGTGGAAAGATATTTTTGAAAACTCTAATCTAAGTGACTTAGCCAAGGCTCAAGATACACTAATTCTGTCCTATGTTCCGATAGGTATACAACGTTCCCTCTTATTTATAAAAAGGGTAAAGTACAGATATTTAAACAAAAAAAGGCATATAGCACACCTTTCCCTGCCTTCTTGAACACGTTTTAGTATACAGAGAGTAAATTAAAATCCTTATTTGTGAAACTTCACGTACAGATTTACAAAATGAGTGGTCTGTTCACAGCACATATGGCTCTTTCAGATCATCCAGTCAAAACAGTGCCAACAAAACTAGTGAGCTTCCAAAATTTCAGTGTTGTTTACGAGACAAAAGGTGAATGTAAAAAGATATTAATGCTGATGTTTCCGCTATTCTGCGTATGCTTTTGATTATAATACATACTGCAATGTCTGCCCGCAGTGATGTTAGTTTCATCTTCTCCTGAAGGGCAGTCCACAGCCCCATCACACACTTTCCCAATTGGAATGCAATGCCCTGATGCAGGGCAAGCCCACTCTCCTGGGTAGCATTCATGGCGACCACTTTCTATGGAAAAGAAAAACCAAGAATAACTGAGGAGTATATTTCAAATAATACTTAGAATTTCTTCCCTAACAGCTTCCCAGAGCATCTCTATCCTTATTATTCAGTTTCTGGTTCTTGGACACAGCTGGGAAAGACTGTAAGAGACATGTCATCCATACTCCTCATCATGCTTTCTTTTACCTTCAAAGTAAAATGCAAACAGTACTTGTGCAGACACATGAATCCTTTTAGTTTTCTGTGTTGTTAGAAACAGTAAAACCATTTAGCTTTACACTAACTGGTGCACCAGAAATGGAACTATAGTTTTGTGGTTTCAAAACATGCCAAAGGCTGTCTGGATAAAGAGAATAAGGCTCATCATAGAAAAAGCCAATGAAAGAAAAAAGCCCACATTTTCATTCATTAAAATTTCTGTTTCTCACATGACAAATCTTGGCAGGAACTGAGCTATTTTCCTTTTGAACCAACTGATTTTTGTTATTAGGAGCCTCATGTCTCTTAATAGATGACCTAAAAAATTGAATTCAAGGTTTTCACAGAATTAAAATGGATTCAGAACATCTTGATTGGTCAAGATTTCATAGAAGTAGCTTAGTGAGGTCTTTCTCTGAAAATATAATCATTAGAAGTTAGCATTAGTATATACCGCATCCTTTTTCGTCTTCATTATCTTCACAATCATCATCTCCATCACATATCCAGCTCTGATGAATGCAACGGCCACTTGGACAAGTGAAAAAGTTGCCTCTGCAAGTTGCATAAGCTAAGAAAAGAAACATGAGAAAAATCAAACTACTTTAAGTGACTAAAAGGTTACAAATAGTAATATTGTCTCATAGATGAATAGTCATTTAGAATCTCTCCTGAAAAAACAAGCCAGTTCCATATCTTGTATATATTGTAAACACTGCTGATTTGCTCTGGTTTTAGGTATGAGCTTTATTTTAGAATACTCTGGTTTTATACAGAAATGAAAAGGAAGGCTAAATTTCTCAATTAATTGTGCAACTGGATGCAGAACACCTTATTAATGAAGTTCCTGAGGGTGGATATGACAAGGAAATGATACTCAAGACATTAGGAGGTGAAAAATTTGTATGCCTTGACTCAGAGAAACAGATTAAAAAAAAAACAAAAACAAAACAAAACAAAAAAAAAAAAGAACATTTACATCCAATTTACATCCAAGCCCTCCATGGCTGCGAATCAATCCCTGCTAAGAGTTCAGAAATATTTGTGGGTCTTCCAAAGACATAAAAGAGAAATATTCTGAGGGCAGGGGAGTGGAATCACACCAGTGTAAGGTGGTCGGTATGACGGAACAACTAAATGGCAACATGTGGCCTTCCTGCAATGCAGAATATGAAACTAACTTTGATCCTATAATCAGTGAGGGACCTTTTTAGATATACAGGTCACACTAGTGGTAACTCTACAGCCATAATTCTGGCTGGACATGCAATAGTTTGGGATACTCTGACTGTGAAGAAACGAATGAGCAAGAATTTACAGAAATTGAACAGTCAATTAAAGGTGTGTGAACATGTAAAGGACAACTATCTGCATAGTTATCTGTCTGTAAAGTGGTACATTATAGTTACTGGGAATAATTCTAAAGGATCCATTCCATCCATTTCCATTGGAAAATAAAAATGCAAAAAAGAGCCCAACAAATTTGGACAAAAATATGCTGTATCTAATTGAGATTTCAGAGCAAAGGAACTACCTTTGGGTCATGCTGAAATGAAGAAAATTATGACATGAAGAAATGAAGCTCTATGGGTTAAGAAGCAAACGGTCACTGAATCCAACAAATTCAAATAGCAACCACACATCCAGGCATTTAGCAAAGACAAGCACTGCAATTTTCATCTTTCCATACAAAAAAGTCCTTGTAGAACAGGGGCTAGCTTTTGATGGTTGTATAGCCAAGCAATCTACTTCCTGCTCTCTGCTTGAATTAGTTCTTAGGAAAACAGTTAAAGAAAGTGGTGGGGGGGAGGAAAACACCAAACCAAAAAACATCGTACTGCAAGAGTTTTCATCACTCCTATCTCCACAGTCATCATCATGGTCACAGATAAAGGCTTGTGGGATGCATTCTCCATTAGCACACTGAAACTGTGTACCCGTACATCGATGTGCTGGAAGAGATTTTAGCACAGAAAGACATAGAGAAAATCTGTCAGAAAACTACAATCTTTAACTTTAAATGAGGGTCTATCAAGCATTTTGGAATCACTCTGCATGTGATACTTACTGCAATTAGCTTCATCAGAAGAATCTCTGCAATCAACTTTGCCATCACATCGCTGGCTCGCATTAAAACATGCTCCATTTGCACATGATAACTGGTCACATCTTGGATAGTCTACAATAAGAAATCCTTCAGTTTAGCCTGGATGTTAGACTATAGAATACAATGAGTCATATACATCCAGTGTCAACAGAATACCTTGATTTATAGGATGACAAAAAAAGGAATACAGAACTTCCTGTACTACTACTGACAAACAGTTCATTTATCCAGTATACTGTCTCCTCCAACAGATATTTAAGACTATCCTCTAGAAAGATGTTACAAAACCTCACAAGAAATGGGGGAAAAATTAGATGCCCTCCCACACCCCAAAAAAGATTTGCAACCCAAAGAGTTCACAATATGACAGAAAACAATGCAACATGAAAAGAGAGCAAGCAGTGAAGATTTATTTTATTTACTTATACCTCAGTTTTACATTTTATTGATCTTCTTAAAAGTGCATAGGTAGAAAAGGAGTTCCTGAAATTTACAGTTCCTAGGCCCTCTTAGACTGTGATGAGTTCTCAAACTCAGAGTCTTCAGGTTTTTACAGTTTTGTTCTAATTAAGCCAAGTATGTTAAACTTCCCAGTTCATGATCAACTTCAGGACCTCTGGTTTTTATTACTTGTTTTCCCCTTTCCAAAACAAAAAAATATTCTGTAGAATTAATGACTTTTCAGTTTTTGGTTGTTCCACTTATGTAGATGATCTACAGGCCAACACCAGGGATTATTACAAACAACTTAAAACCAATTCTGAAAATACTTATCCAACAAAGTAAGCAAGTGCACGTGCTAGAGTTCAGAAGGAGAATATGAGCTTAGTTTAGCTCATTGGCATGTAGACTAAAGTTATTTATTTCAGGCAAATGGCAAGTATGAAACCAAATAATTGCTATTTTTAGAAGTGAGATTTATCGAACTTTTGCCTCTATACGGAAATATATGGAGATAAATGAATGCAAGAAACAGAATAACCAAATTTCATTTTGCACCTTTTAGATTTTCAGTTTGAATTCTTATCCAATTTTACTTCCATATGAGTTAATAAAGCAGATAGAGTAGGCTCTCATTCAGATACATTTTCGTTCATACTCTTGGAACTCCAAACATGAATTATAGAATTACTAAGCAGAACTCAGAAAAGCTGCAATTTTTCCATGCAGTGGAAGTCTGTTTTGCTTGCTTCTGCTGTTCTATATATCATCACATTCCCACTAAACTTCAGTCACCTGTGGAATAGGCTTACATGATTTTAACTGCTAAGTTCTTAATATGAGAGCATAAATAGCTGTGTTGACGTCCACTACAAACCTAGCCAGACTGTGTCCTCAAGTGATTAATTTACTTTTCGGTCATTTCCACTGCAATTAATGCAAGACCACAGCTGGCATGTAGGAACAGTATATGCCTCATCAGAAAACAGTAGTTGCAGATGGCCAGGGTTCCAGCCACAGCATTCCTACCTGTGGCTTTCTGGTGCTAGTTCCCAGACCTTCCATTGCAAAGTCCTGCACTAACAATGCCAACACATGCCCTAAACATGATCAGTATCCTTTCGCCCCACTTCTCAGTCAAACTCCCTTCTGACACAGGCATCTCATCCATTTCTTGCTTGGGTTAGGCTTATGAGCAACTCGTAAAGCATTGGAAAAAACATGGATTCTGAAGTCCTAACTCTGCCCACAGAAAAAGAAAGATCTGACGTGGGGCCACATCTTATGCTCACTGTGGAGTCAATGCTTTTTCCCTGTCTGGAAGCAGAGAAGCCATCACAGGGAGGAACCATCAGCTCTACAGCACAGGAGGAAAGAGCTATGGCAGTACAAGAGTACTGTAAGTATTCTGGGACACATATAAGAAAAAGAACAGTAAAAGGTATTTGTTTTGTAACTGGACTGAAGTGGGAAAGCTTGTAAGGGGATTTAGAATGTGCAGTTGTGTAATTTTCTTCACCTTTCATCATATGCCACAGAAATACCTCCAGTGATGTTCCAAACTCTTTCTGATCAACTAAATGTCAAACAAATAGGAAGCTGAACCCATTGCCTTGCACTGCCTGTTTCTTCAAGACTGCCCAGGCAAACTAAGGATCTAGTCAATAATAAGATTTTCTCAAGCTCATATTAAACTCCCTTAGAAGAAGGGAGACTTTGTCAAAGTTTTCTCTCATGCAGTAAGCCTGGAGAAGCTCTCAGCCTGGAAAAAAATCTTTATTATATTATATAATCTAGTGTATAAACACAAATCATTATAAAAATACCAAGCAGGGCAATAAATAAAGATGTTATGAAGACACTTCAAAACACTCTGACTACATTGGTGGTGTACTAGAATGTGAACAAATGCTTATTTTCCCATATTTTCTTTTCAAATCTGCTTGGTATACAGATTCTTTATTTTAATTGTAGTTGCAGAAGCAAGTCAGTCTTTGAAAAGCCTGATGGAGATGAATTTAACTTTTAAACTCTGTACAGGTAATCCCATTCCCAATGCCCCTTCTAAAGAACAGGCTTAGAAAATTATAGTACTGATCATAGCTTTCTCACTGATCTGAAAGATATTTTCACTGCATTGTGCATTGTACACTGTACTCTTTGTACCTTATAGCATATTATTTTAGTAAAATGGTTCTAATCATCTGGGGCATTAAGAACTAATCCTCATAAACAATGTTGAAACTGAGTTACAACACAGGCTGTAGCCAACGCACTGCAGGGTTCAGGAGCATCTGTGCCATCAGGACAGTTCCACAGTAGCTGGGATAGCCAGCCACACTTTTTTGGGAGAAGTAGCAAAGATGCAAGAATCAAGCAAGAAATTCTGGCTTCTCTGAGGGCCAGCCACTGTGCTACACTTTCCAACAGCTTCTAGCTAAGGCCCTTGTGGAAAACACACACAAGATGAACCTATGGCATGGTGTTTGTGGGGGACTCTGTTGATGTTGAGAGAACAAAGGAAGTCAAAACTTAGCTTCATAACAATACTAGGATATCTGAAAGTGAAGGAGTGCCTGTCCTTGCAGTTGCAAAAAAACAAGACTTAAAGTCCCTTTCCTTCCTGTAAGTGACAGATGAGGCACCTTGCTCCTTCTAAGCCACAAACTGTTTTGGAGCAACAGCTGCAAACTCATCTAAATGATGTGTTTTAAGGTATACATGTGGTAGATGCTTGAAAGCTATGTCACAGGAACTGCTAAACGTACATTATTTTTGTCTCTGCCTAACACTCTGCAAGCTGGAAATAAGTTATTACAAAAAAAGTACCAGGAAACAGTTGCAACTGGTTTTTGATCCAGTAGATATTGACTTCTGTCACACAGTCAGGAAGCATAACCTTCTGTAACCCTAATCCATGTCACAAGAAGAAGAAAGGATAAAAAGGGGACAGTTTCCTACTTCCAAGTGTCATTCTTTTATTGCAGCAACATTTCAGAACATTTCACAAAATAAAATTAATTAAACCCCTTTGACTCACTGCCATGAGTCACCACCTCACAGTGGGCAAATCATTGCACAGACAGCTCAAAGCCTACCAGAGGCACCAGGAGGAGGACTTTCTCCAAGTCCAAGAGTCCCATAAGCTACATATCAGGTAGTGTTCATAGCAGCAATGCTTTGGGAGCTGGCAGACAGACCCAGTCTTAATTCCCGATTTTGATCCCTGCCTCTCTAGTCTTAGGCTGCCTTCCTCACCTTCCTCCAGTTTTGCTTCTTTCCTGCCTGCCCAAACTATCCCTGGTGGAGATATTTCCTTCAGCCTGAAATTCTGCCTTATCCTGTACCTGTTACATGTAATTTGTCCAACATCAAGAACATTAGCCTCTGACCATGGCCCTCTTCTTCCTTCTTGGACTACATCCCTTATGATCTCTTCAGTTCTTGATCTTTGTTCACTTTCACCCTGATCTTCACAAAGGCATCCCAGACCTGGCTGCCCACTTCCTGACCTCAACAGCTATTTAGCATAGTAAACAAGCTGTAGGAATTAACAGGTTCGGCAGTTGACCCATGGCAGCAACTCAACATTAAAATTAGAATAAAAACTCCAGAGTTTCTGGGCCTGCGCTCAGCCCAGCAGCACCAAATAACACATCTTTAAAATCCTTCCCCTTTCTCCCTGACAGTCTCAGTGCAGTGCTCAGCTGCCAGAGCTGTGTCCAGGAAGGTTATTCTGTCAGTCACAGCAAAGTAAAATGGACATGGCTGGGATTTTCATTTTTCAACTATGAAGCTGAGGCAGGAAAGATAACTCTACCTTTAATTGAAAGAAATAAAGTAACACAGAAAAATGACACCAGAATTGGCTGCTTACTCCCAAAAAGTATTTACTACCTCAAATTGCCTGCCGTTTCATTCTACATTTCTAAAGTTTTAAAACAAAAGTATTTGCTAGCTGCTGACTATTTTAAAAGGTGGGAAAACATCCTGATATATATATTTAATGAAAATAAAAAGCATCATTTTACGAACTTAAAACAGCCTCAATGCACTAATTACATGACCTGTAGCTGAAACATTGTTCTGATGTTTATCTTAGCCTCTGCATGGGTAGTTTCCCCTTGTTGTTAATCCTATTAGCAGTAAAATAGACTAAGACTTTGAATTTCTTTGTTTATTTTTTTAATGTCTTTAATTGCTGAGCTACTTTATATTGGTGACATTTTGCATTTGACTAGTTTCTTAAATAATGTAAGCAACATTACTGCATAATCATTCAGCAACAAAACTTTATCTTCTTCACAATCTAAATAATGCTTCCAGACAGATCAGTGAGGACAAGGCATAAATAAATGGACATTATAAGTTTGCATTTTGTTATGTTCCGTGAAATAACAGAATCAATTCTGAATAGCTTTTTTCTTTCATTGTTCATAGATTCTTCATTTTTATTTATGAAACCTTTTAGTGTAAATTAAATAGGGGAAAAAGAATTAAAAAGGAAAAAGGCAAAATAGTGATATTCCTCTTATATTTGTTTATATCAGATTCTGTGGAAAAAGAGATGGATGAAACAGTACGAAAAATTAATATTCAAAGCAAGTATTAGAATCTGCTTCAAAACAGTAAAATCTAACACTTACACTAATCCCTACTGTATAGTTAATGGTAACATCACCATATTATTAGTTGTATCTTATGGCTTCTGTTTAAAGTTACATGCCTTGTAAAGACAGAGAGGCAATAAAATTAACCATCCTTTCTAGAAGGGTCTTGTAATTACATTCTTCTTGATTCTCTTGCCTTCGGCACCATCACATTTCTTTAAGCTAGTACAACACTCCTACTTTCAATGTTCCAAGTCACAGTCATTCTTCTGTCTTAGAGGGACTGTCAACACATCTTCTAATAAGCCAGAGTAGAGGCTGTTGAATGATATGAGGCAGTCCTCCTCCCTGGGGCCAAACAGGCTGCCTTCACAACAGTCATGGGGCCTACTGGCTGATGCAGGAATGACTGAGTTTCCCACACAGCAGTAGAGCGCTACTGTTAAGGTATCTAGAGGCCCCTTTCCAAACTGCCTTTTTAATTTACTTAGTCAAGAATGTTAAACATGAAATAAAATGTACACTTAAATTTTCAAACACCACAGTGGTTTCTAGTCTGAAGAACGAATTATGAGTATTGTCCTCAGGACTCCACTCCCAGTCTGCCCCAGATTTACTGCATTTTGACAATGACACCATTTCATCTGGCTGTTCCACACCGTATTCAGTGACTACTCACAGATTTCTCAGAGGTTCTGAGCAGTTCCTCTTTTTTAATTCAAAGACAATACATTTTTTAAACAAATATATTTTCTTTAGTATTTTTTTAATGTGTCATAGATTTTCTAAATTAAATTACTAATCTCTTTTCTTCCTTTAAAATTCAAGTGAAAAAATACCAAACTACAGAAGATATTCTGCAAACAATGATATGGCGTACTTTAGGTCTTGGCTTTTAGCCATTTGTGTGGGTGACTTCAGAATTGGCTGGGAGTCTACCACATGGAAAAGTTCCAAGCTGGCTGTCTTAGCTACCTTTTATTCCAAAGTACCATATAGTTCTAAATCACCTTTCATTCTACAAAGTATAGAATTAGCCACTTGTGAGCCAGGGCTAAAATGCACTAGCAGGTGTCTGACCACGTAATCTGCTGTTTTTTCTTTATGTGGCATGTGCATATGCATATATTTCTTGCTTCTTTATCCATGCCTTAGCATCCCAGCCTCTTCCCCCACCTCTTACCCTGGGTCTAGTTCTGAGCAAAGCTTCAGGTTACATCTTTTTCACAAAGGCACACCAAGTTCTAATAGCTGGAATAGCAGCTCATATGTTACATGCCACTCACGATATGTGTAAAGCTTTTCCTTAAAACTAACAATGAACAGATATGCTGTTACATGTTACACACTGTTGCATAGGTATCGGGCAAAACCAGCTCTGAAAAATGTGGCTTCTATTCTGTGGCCAGCTGTCCTTTCTGTAAGTATTCTGCCTAGGCGAGGATGTAGGGAGGTTGTCACCAGATAGTCAGGCAGCCTCAACTCTGGGGAAGTTAAACTGAAAAAAAACCTACTTAACCATCTGCATTTTGTTGGCACAATATAAACAGCTTATCTGAATACAATATGACTCGATGCCACTTCATTTTCACAGTCTGGAATACAAATGCTTTTGAAAAGGTCAAAGTCCCTCAAAGTGACTTCGGGTCAAATTCTGCTTTTCTCTACAGGTTATAGTTACCATTGATTTCATAAGGAATATGCAAAAAGAATATGAAAAAATCTGGCAAAGTTAGCTCTGAGTCCCCCCAAGGCTTTAAGCCATTTAAACACGGTTGGTTTTCTTCCAATGCACTATTGATTATCTTTCAAACAATGACAAACAAGAAACGCTGATACTATGGTAGCAGTTTGCATTTGAGTTCTGCAATAATGTATCTGTATCAGAACATCAGCTCTAATACACAAAAGAACCTGAAATTAAACAAGAAGCATATTGTGGTCATCCTGTCCATCAACAAGCCCTTTAATCTTACAAATTTATTAAAATGCCACAGAGAGATGAGATGAAACCAGATCTAGTGCTGAGAGTTAAGACTCACGGCAGACTCTTTCATCTGTTCCATCAGTGCAGTCCTTTACTCGATCGCACCAGTATGCGCTCGGGATACACTGTCCATTTGAACACGTGAACTGTTGACTTGAGCATGTCCTTCCCGCTGCAAGAAACAAGCACTCAATCAGTCTTTTCCATCAACGAAAATTTTTATGCAGAAAAATATTCTCCCTCTTTCTCTTTAACTACTTCATCATTCTCACAAATATTAGCATAAGACTTTCTCTTCCTGTACCTTTGCCACTCAAGGAGATTAAAAGAACACTTGACAAGCACATGGCAGATAACAATGCTCCATAAGGCCTCCTGTAGCCTGCAAGGTCACTGCTTTTCTCCACTGAAGGGGTTGACCTCTAGGTTAAGAATTACCTCCCTATAATTGTTCTGCCTAAAAGATTAAATTACTAATTCTCACTGTTTAGAAGTTTTCTCTATTATTTTGTTTACTGGGTCAAAATCTGTCAGTAAATGTAAGTTATTTGGTCAGCTACAATGCCACAATGTAAACACAGTAGAGCTGGATGTAAGGCACTGCTTTCTAATACAGCCAGGGCCTCAACAGTCAGGAATATTCTACATTCATAGCTAACAGAAGATCAAGAATGGTTATGTCTTGTTTCATGACAGCTGTGTTGGTAAAAAGTAACCACATAAAACTGTGAAATTCCACTTTGATTCCACTTTGATTCCACTCCAGCTAAATTAAAACCACTGTTCTTAGGCAAATAGCTGAAGGACTAAATTACTGCTAACTTTTCCTCTCTTCTGCCACCTGCACATTTGTTTCTTTCAAACTCATGTTCTATCTGAACTCCATCCCAGTCTATACACTGGCATCTGGTTTGCTGCTTTACAGGGGCTCTCTATTCCTCCTTCTGGCAGCACTGCTCCCAAAGTAAGATCAGCTACCAGGATACTAGTGTCATGAGGAAAAACAAGAGCAAGACAGTAAAGTAAAACAAATTTGGTTTAATTCTGCATGTGTGACTTCCAGAGCTGTCAGCCATTTTTCTCAGGAAAAATTTTTAACATTTCAAGAAGGAAAAGCTCCTCCAGGATTCCCAAGCACAAAGACAAAAAGTACCTTTATAAGAATAAGGACAAATACCAGATGACGCAAAAACAGCAGCAGCAGCACAGTGCCACTGTATTGTTACTAACTCTCATGATTAACTGGTAACTGGAGAACAATGTTACAGTGACCCAGTTCAAAAGCCAACTCAGAGCTGTTGCTCACTTTGCATTTTGTATCTACAGATTCCTTAGTTAAAACATAACCAGGAGTTGTGCTGACACCTCAGAGCAAAAGGGGTGGAAAAGGCAGTTAACTTTAATTCCAATTTTTCCATCCTCAGGGGGAACAAGTATCAAGATCCCCTCCCTAGAATTGTTCAAGGCCAGGTTGGACAAGGCTTTGAGCAATGCACTGTATATTTTTCTCCTTTTTTTCTTTCTTTAATTAACTGAAACATCATTAATTTCAGATTTCAAGACCTAGAGATGTCTTTGTGGGACTTATTTGCTGTATTTTATCTATTTCAGTTTTCAGATTATTTCATTTCTAGAAACTATTTTAGAAAGAATCTTCTGGTAAAAGCAGTACTTGCAGCAGGCTTGTTTCTGTATGTTCTCAATATGCTGCTATGTGAATTACCTTATTTCACAAAGCTGGTGTAACATTAGAACTTAAATACTTACGACATTGTTGATGCTCATCTGAGCCATCTTCACAGTCTTCCTCATCATCACAAACCCATGACTGTGGGATACATTCACCATCAGACCGACACTGAAACTGATTTCCCTCACAAGTAGGTTGTGCTAGTGTAAGCAATGAAAAAAACTGTCATTCCACAGACATCTGGGAAAGCACTTTCAAGGAAAACAATTAAATAAAGGAAAAGAAGACTTAAGGTTCAAGTGCAAATTGACTGTAACTTCCACTAAACCTATTAAGCATTTCACAAACCAAAGAAAATGGACAGAGCAGGGAGGGGAAAGTGGGCCAGCAGAAGGATGCTCAAAGGCAAAATTTAGTTTAGTGAACTCCTGCATATGAATCTTCAGTTTTGTATTCTCCCCTGGAGACCAAGGCTCCTCCAGAAGGCAGGTCACCGCAAAAGCTCTGAACTGCTCTTTGGCAGAGCCTGTTTTTTTCCCCACTTACATATGGAGTCATGCTAGCTTCCCTAGTCTCACAGGGGTCTGTTCCATTGCTCTCACTCCACCTCAGGTGCTCTGTCCCTTGTAAGAAGAAGGTCTTTCAAAACAAGCTCATGATTCTTCTCTGTGAATTCATGAGGCAAAAGTGAGGGTCGGGTCAGAACAATCTGTATGTTATTGTCCCAGCTTCACTCTGTACTTTTCAAATAGCCAAATAACGAGGAGCCGTTAGAAAGATGGAAATAAATGTTTGAAACTGTGTTACAGCTTACTCCATCCCTAGTTAACACTCCTGGGCAGAATCACTAGCACAACACAGTCCAGTAGACAGGACTCTGGTCTTAACCATCTTTTTTTCAGGATCATATTTTTGCATTACTGCAAAGTCAACTAGAAACACTTTGTGCTCACGGGATGGTATGTAAGCAGCACTACCAATGTAAACAAAGCATCAAGGGAGAAAACTAAATCACTTTGCAGATTTAGAGTTGAGAAGTACAAAATTACATTAGAAATAAAGTAATTAGAGGGATGTTGTCTAGGGCCTGAAAGATGCAACAATTTGGAGCTCAAGTGTAGTGCTGCTGGTGGTAGCTGTATGTACATCCAATATTCAGGATTACTGCAATAATAGATTACAATACATTTCTACATCTACTTAGAACATTAGTCATCAAATGAAATGGCATTATTGAACACTCGGATTTTTAAGAGAAGACTAAGTCATGTTAGCAGTTGAGCACTACTTGATTCTCTAACAAAGCCAAGGGACTCAAGAAATATGACTCCTAAGCAGATTCTGCAGTCATCTCAAGAAAACTAGTTTTCTTCCTCTGCAATATTCATTCTTGTACCATGGGTACAGTTGAGCATGTGGGGATCTCAGTATTCCTTATATCACAAAAAATGTTGCTATATAGTAGTTTCACTTACGACAACCAGCTTCATCCGTATCATCCGAGCA